GGCTGGTTACACAATCAACTGACATCATCAATAGCAGTGATGGCTGGTTACACAATCAACTGACATCATCAATAGCAGTGAGGGCTGGTTGCCGAAATAGATTGTTCAATGTTCATTGTACTAGATAGTAGTCTACACATACATATACACAATACCATGCATTAGAATTAATAAAATAGTAGCAAGAATAAAATGATATCAGTAACACATTCTATGTAGTGTCAGATTGATACTGTTCTGTAGCGTGCTCCCTGTAACTTGTACGCTGTATACTGACTGTTCCCCTATATTTAATAGGAATGCTGGTCATTCACAAATGAGATGAATTTATTCTTTTACTTCAGTTGATGATGGGACTGGTGTCATTCCCTGTTGCTGCTGGAGAAAGGAATTTTTCAATATGTCAGGTGTGTATAAGTACTTGTAGGAACACACTTCTGATGGCACCGATCAATGACGAGTGAGGCTCCTTTAGATAGGTTTATGTCCGGTGTATATAAGTACTAAGGAACACACTTCTGACGACACCGATCAATGACGAGTGAGGCTCCTTTAGATAGGTTTATCCTCAAACAACATACAAATGTACCTGATATTTTGACTATTTTCCTACTGTGGCCGAGACACGAAGGTCTATGTAGCTCCCTACCAAGTTGTATTCCCAGTTAATAATGTGCTACATCAGTCTAAACAATTGCCTTGGTCTCTGTTTCAGCAGGTTATGTTCCAAGGTGGCCTTGTTTGTGTTCAGCACTTTTTTGGTGATGGATATTGTCAAACTAATAAACCAAATCTAGGAAGGAAAAATCCTGAATTCTATGATTAACATTTGTAACATTGGATTTTCTTTTCAATCCCTGGGGTAGATCTTATATCATATTCGGTACCTGTAGGGAGACATGGAAATCTGTTGAGAAACATGTTTAGACAACATGATGGCATGTCTTTCGATAGTCCAAGGAAATCCTCTTTATATTAGGAGATATACCTTGAAGTAATGTATTATTTATGGAATCCTTGATCATATGACCTTGACCCATTAATAATGACTTAGACCAACCTAGAATGACTTTATCAGAACTTTGTTTGACCTAATAAGTGTGACCCTATGCTAGACCTCCCCAACGTGATCTAACCTTGACTTGACCAGTTAGACCTTTAACTATTACATTTAATTAAATTGACAGAATGTGACCTTGATATATTTGATCTACCCAATATGACTTTGACCTATCCTGACAATGAATTTGATCTAACATTGTGACATTTTTCAGATCCTGGCTGTGATTGGTCAGGGTTACCAACTGATCTGAGAGGATTGGCGGCCGGAATCGCTGATCACAAAACACACGAGGGTTATGTACTCGGAGATCTGATACAAGTTCGGGGGAAGGTGAAGATGTTCCGAGACCAGAGGGAGGTGGTCGCCACATACCACAGTATCTTTCTTTACACGATGTCGTGTCATAAGTAAGACTAGAGGTGTAACAAGTAATCGATGAATCGTGGCGAATGGTGAGAGCTGATGCATTGTGGTATCGTGATACTGTAAAGTTTTTTACAGGTTACTGCCCTTTAGGAGGGGTTATTAACCAATCACGCTTAATTTACTTCACCATGCATGTTTTCTTGTCCTATTACCAAAAAGAAAGGTAATTTTTAAAAATAAAACTGATAAACAATTAAGGAGGTAGATCACTTAAAACAACCCATAAATACAGCATGGCATACATTTTAGACTTGTTTCATATCACGGTTTGTTTCAAAACAGGGAAAAGTATTTCTCAACTGGCAGTTTCAGTGAAGATTTAAACAAAATAAATTAATGTTCATATTATGTAAACAGTGTCACTAATCATCAGACTGATGTATAATAAGAACCAGTGACCTTGACTTGGTTCCCAGCGCGGCTAGATGACCCCATGGAAGAAGTGTTACGATTGGCTGAACTTCCAAAGATTTACCGAAAAAACTACGACCAACCTTTCCAACTTCCACACAAGGTTGCCCGGGAGATAGACTGCAACCGACGTGAAACTGTGACTGGAGTCTTGTCGAAGGTGAGCTGTTGTTCAGCTCTCAATACAACTCCACAGGCTTCATTTTAGTCTTGTTTTTGGAAAAAAAGAAATTATGGATTTTAGGAATATCAGATATGGAAATAGGTACTTTCTATGTTTAGTCTTAGGTGTGACCAAAAACACAGTTTAAATGCCTGTGATAAAATGAGCTTTTACAGATAAATTTCTGTACAATTATCAGTAAATCTTTGCTAACATCAACAATGTGTAGTGGAATACCCCGGGCCCGTATTCATGTTACTGTTCTCAGGCTCAAGCATGCTTTCTGTGCTCAAACCAACGTTCTTGTAACTTGCTGAAGTCATGTAAAAGGATTAAGAAATCAAAAGTAAACATTGAAAACAGTACTTGGCTTTAAGTTTCTTCAATTTTTTTCCCAAATCATTGACAAAATGAAATTTGTTTATCAATTCATAACTGGAACAAGAAATCTTGCTTGAGCACAAAATCTATCTTACGCATGAAAACAGTTTCATGAATACAGTCCCTGGTTTCTCTCCCAAGTCATTTGTCAGGTCCGTCTTTATTGTTAATTTATACAGAAAGAACATGAAAAAGCCCAAGACTACATATTATTTTGTTTCCCTGTGATTATTAAAAATTTCCCTGCCTTGCCAACATTTTTATTTTTTCTGTCCCTGGTACTCTGCAAGTTTTTATCATGTAAATGTTTGGATGCAGGAAAGTCTGGTACTTCAAGCAAAGAACACTATGACAGATTACTTCCTGGAGAATCAGATAAGGGAGATAACTCCAGACAGCCTACTGAGAGAAATTGACTCTAAGGTTAGTGTAAACTTATTCTTGTTTTGTTTTTGTTTTTATTTTGGTTGTAGTATTAAAACCTAGCTTTTTCATTACCTGACTTGAAACTGATCTTCAATACCCAACAATACACAACAATACTTCTATAAAGCTAAAAATATCAAGTATTCAATATTTTTTTCTCTGTTTGGGCAGAAAGTCAGAAGTCAAGATTATGGTTGGAATAAGTGAAAACATAGAAAAGTTCATGTTCTGTGTAAACTAGAAGTTAATAAACATGTAAAACGCACATTAACATTCAAGATTATTTATTATTTTACATTGACTTTTAATTAACATATTTTACGACTGCCATATTTGCATGGAAAAGCCGAAATATTGCAATTCTGAACGATGGCATTTTCCCACACAAACAGCTCTTGTTTGATATATCCTTATAGCACCAGCGTACAACTATCTGACAAATTGTCTTTTCATTCTTTGTTTGCTATCCATTGAACTTTAAAACACTTTTCACATTAACATGGTAAACTATTGCATGAAGGCAGCTAACTGAACACACCTGCTCTGACTGAAGTTGAATAAATGTTGTAATAGCTTTTCAAGACTATAATTTAACATGTTTATAGTACTCTAGAGACCGTTTTTCGGCCTCTTGTGGGCTGTACAGGGGTTGGTAGCCTAGGAGTCGTCTCCCTTTGCTACCATTAAAATACAAGTCCATGTTGATGTAACGCACACTACAGGAGGCTGTGGGAAGATTGATCCTGATGAGAGGGGCCAGGAGGTGTAATACCAACTCCATCAGATACAAACTGTAGTACACTAGGCCACAGGGCAGTCGATACTGCGACAGACCGTAGTTACGACTTTCCAGATATGGCTGCATGAACAGGAATGAATTTTGCACAGGAGTGTAGTCTGGTATGTAAAAGATCTCCCCGCCCAAGTTATAGTTTAGTCTCAAGGCACGGTCAGCACACACAAATGCCCAGGCTGTATTCCCTACGTAGACCTGCTGGAACTTGGACTGACCGTTCCCGACCTGGACCAGTCGACCTCTGTTTGAAGCAGCTGACCGGAGACCACTGGTGACATAGAACGGGTCCTCTTCCCCGTACATAACATTAGCTCTCAGTGACATTGTCCACAAAGGATTGCCTACAAAGAAAAACACGCATACTTGCATGATTCCTCAGTGGTTTTCTATTGCTTGAGAAAAGAAATGTGTTTTGTAACGATAAACAAATTAAAAGAAGATCACTTTAAATAAAGGGCTTATAGGTTGAAGATGTGAACATCCTGAATGACGACTTGTTGAGGAAACAGTGTGCAGCAATGCAATGTTGTAGTTAACTATACACTGCTGTATAGCTTATAGTCTCTCAGATAATCTATTGTCAAAGGGAAGTAATCCAGTAATCTCTTCTCTATTATTACCCTTAGACGAAGTTGGTTGCAAGTATACTGGAATCAGCAGCTAGTCTGTATACAAGTATATTGGAATCAGCAGCTAGTCTGTAAACAAGTATACTGGAATCAGCAGCTAGTCTGTATACAAGTATACTGGAATCAGCAGCTAGTCTGTATACAAGTATACTGGAATCAGCAGCTCGTCTGTATACGAGTATACTGGAATCAGCAGCTAGTCTGTATACAAGTATACTGGAATCAGCAGCTAGTCTGTATACAAGTATACTGGAATCAGCAGCTAGTCTGTATACGAGTATACTGGAATCAGCAGCTCGTCTGTATACAAGTATACTGGAATCAGCAGCTAGTCTGTATACAAGTTTATTGATGGAATTGTCTTGACAGAACCTGCAGTTTCATCCAGATCCTGGGAAACTTGTTGGTGAAGTCACACTGAAATTTCTGCTATTTTTGTGGTTTTTTGTTTGTTTTTTGTTTTTTGTTTTGTTTTTTTTTTGGGGGGGGGGGGGTAATACCCTTTAGCCAAATATTTAGCCNGAGTAATACCCTTTAGCCAAATATTTAGCCTAGGCTTGTTATTCTTATTCTTATTCACAAATACATTTTGTCCAAAATATTGAAATTTTCTATTCATTTGATATATCAGTTTTTGATAATTGACTTTCTTTTGGCTATTTTTATTGGAGGTATGAGTTAGCCTGTGGCCTATAGTTCAACTTATCTCATCTAATAATGGAAAATATGACTTGTTTTTCTCCATCATGGGTTAAAGGCAGTTTAGTATTGAACCATTTGTTTTCAGAATAGTAGGTTTCATTTTGATAAAGGACTTTACCATTTACACTTTTCTGTCCATTGGCATTGAGCACCAGGCATTCTGCTTCGTACTTTGTGGCGGGGTAGCCCGGGAATAGAAACTGTTTGGGCACACACGTGGTTGTCTCCATTCCTTCACGAATGTCATCGAAACCTACCACCACATCGACTGTACTGCAGAAGATCAGCCTCTCTACTCCTGTGTTTAGACAACTCTCCACAATGTTCCTGGTACCTGTAGTAATATATATATATCACATAACTACAGAAGATCAGGCTCTCTACTCCAGTGTTTAGACAACTCTACACAATGTTACTGGTACCTGTAGTAATATATATATATCACATAACTACAGAAGATCAGCCTCTCTACTCCAGTGTTTAGACAACTCTCCACAATGTTCCTGGTACCTGTAGTAATATATATAT